AACCCCCGGATAAGAAGAACTCCATTTGGGGAAACAGATTTACATGGGATAAATATTTGAGGAAATTGCACACAATTTGGAATGCACTCATGAGCGGAGTAGCGTCCTCCTTACTTTTTTTTTTTTGCCTCCTCGGACTAGAAGCTGTTTTCTGTATTATTTTTCCTTCATTTTTGCTGCTAAAATCCATTTATGTGATTCATAAGCAACCCGAAACCTTAGAGAGGTCCCAACTCTCCACCATCTCTGACATACTTATTTTACTTAGCGAGAGACACCGTTAACAGCAATTGCTTCACTGAGAACTCAAGATGTCATCGTCAACTGATCAATGACGGTCGGTGAAATTACGGGGCCATGTGAGATGTCATTTCCAAAAATTGCCTCACTGGGAACTCCAGAGATCCTCATCACCTGACCAAAGATGGTGGGTGAGATTGTTGGGTCATGTGAGAAGTAATTTCCAAGAATTGCTTCACTGAGAACTCAAGATGTCAACATCACCTGATCTAAGATGGTGGGTGAGATCGTTGGGTCATGTGCGATGTCACTTCCAAAAATTGCCTCACTGAGAACTCAAGGTGCCGTCATCACCTGATCTATGATGGCGGGTGAGATCATTGGGTCACACATGATGCTGTTTCAAAAACTGCCTTGATGAGAACTCTAGATGTCATAGTCACCAGACCAAAGACGACGAGTGAGATCGCTGGGTCACGTGAGACATAGTCCCCAAAAATGCCTCGCTGAGAACTTGGTATGTGTAACGTCCCTGCGCTCCGTACCGCATCTCGTTTGCGTTCCAGGGTGGAACGCAGCAGAGGGCGTAACCGCCGAGGAATTCCTCCCCATTAGCGGAGGTGCTATGCGTTCCACGCTGGAACGCGGAAGCGCGTCGCGGCCGTGTGACGTCACGGCCGCGGCCTATTTAAACCTAGTGGGAACAAGGAAGGGTGTTCACTATTGGGTTTCTTACGCCCAAACACCCTGGAACTCTGGAGCAAACAGCCCTACCACTGACCAGGACCTACTGGAGGATTCCCCTCAAGCTACCCGGCATCAGTGTCCCTGTTTGACACTCACCTTAAACCGCAAGTAGAACGGGAACCCCTGGGCTCAGCTCATTGGAGCTCAGGCACTACCTAAACCTATAACCCTTTGACATACTGGTGGATGTGGGAGAGGTCTCCAGTCATCACAAAGTTGGGCTGCCTTAAAAACTCCTTTAGCTACTTGCTGGTTTCCTTGGGTTTACGGCTGATGATGCAAGAACCCCAAACTCTCCGCCTGTGACTGAGAGTGACGCCTGGGGTTCGTGACTGAATGCCGTATACCCTCCGCTCGATCATCTTAGACTCCGCAGTTGTGATCCATCTCTGGTTGTAGAGCAACCCCCGGGCGTGACAGTATGTCATCGTCACCCAACCAAAGGTGGCCGGTGAGATCGCTGGGTCATGCAAGACGCCATTTCAAAAACTGCCTTGATGAGAACTGGAGATGTCACCTTCAACTGACCAAAGATGGCGGGTGAGATCGCTGGGTCACACGAGACATTGCCAAAAATTGCCTTGACGAGAACTGGAGATGTCTTTGGTCACCTGACCAAAGATGGCCGGTGAGCTCGTTGGGTCACGCGATGTTAGAACAGACATTGAAAGAGAGACGCTGAAGGAAATCAGGTGAAGCGGCATTTGACGAGCACAAGCACTTTGGCGATCGGCCTGCTACGGTATGTACATTTGGCCTCTTTTGAAGAACTTTGGAAAGTAATGAAATCATAAAAAAAAAAAAAATGCTATAAATAGGACACGACAGGATTTCCTCTTCACAGGTGGAAAAATAGTTTTATCGACAACCAGATTTACAAACGTCCTTTTGCTTTTAATTTTTTCTTCAACACACAAAGCATGCCCAGAGCCGCCGCGGAGCGGAAGCCGCACGGCACCCCCCTCTGCGTTATCGGTCTTCTCCTGAGACGTTCCAGAATATTTCATTCTCGGCGATTTCAGATGATCGAGAGGGTAGGAAAAGTGAATAATATTAATCGTACGGAATATATAATGATATACTTTTGTTGTCTTGATCAGGTCCATAGGGTTGTAGTTGCGGCTATAACGTCAGAGCAGGGCAGGCGAGGAGCAGCCAATGCGTCACGGCCAGCAGCAGGAGCGCTGTGCAGAGACTGGACTTTATCGCAGAGGAGTTGCCGGCGGATATGGGATCGCTGGAAGATCGCCCCACCATGTTGTCCTTGCTGAGAGACTGCTGGAAGACACAGACAGATACAAGGTTACACTCTTATATATACAAGAAGACAATACATAGTCAAAAGACCTTGATCTGGTTTTCCCTCCAGGAAGATTGCGCCATCTTTGTTCAGCCATCATCCAGGGTCACCATCTACTTCCTGAACTGAGATGGCAGCTCAAAGATGACGCGATCATGTGAATCCCGGTGTCAGTGCAGTTCCCAGCGGCCGGGGAGCAAGGAAATGGTAACCATTTGTAGTTATTTCTTCCCCAGCCAAATAAGTATTTCAATTTAACAGCAACTTGGAGTATGACTTTAAGCCTTTAGAAAGCCTCGTATTTGTGATCTGTGTCTCTGCCCCTCCACAATGGTGAGATTTCCCTCCAGTAGTTTGTGTCTCTGCCCCTCCCACAATGGTGAGATTTCCCCCAGTAGTCTGTGTCTCTGCCCCTCCCACAATGATGATATTTCCCTCAAGTAGTTTGTGTCTCTGCCCCTCCCACAATGGGGAGATTTCCCCCAGTAGTTTGTGTCTCTGCCCCTCCCACAATGGTGAGATTTCCCTCCAGTAGTCTGTGTCTCTGCCCCTCCCACAATGGGGAGATTTCCCCCAGTAGATTGTGTCTCTGCCCCTCCCAAAATGGGGAGATTTCCTCCCAGTAGTTTGTGTCTCTGCCCCTCCCACAATGGTGAGATTTCCCTCCAGTAGTTTGTGTCTCGGCTCCTCCCACATTGGCAACGTTGCAGCTCTAATGCAATACTATTTAATTCTGCATTATGATCTGTGGACGGGGCGGCACCACCATTTGGTCGGCAGTTGGGGGTGGGGGGATCTTTCTACATCAATTTTGGATGAAACGGTCATGTGTGAAGTTTGAGTCTTGTGACTCCTCTCACCTCAGCCAGGCAGAGTTGGGTGTCCACGGAGTCGTTCAGTTTCATTCTCTGCGCCTGGGAAGAGAAGAGAACACAATGTAATTGAGACGTTTGCGACGCAGGGAACGGAGAACGTTGTTTTTCTCGCCATGTTCCTCAGACACACAAAGACTCCCCCGGTTGGAGAAAATTAATTACATGGCAAGACGCTGAGGATAATCCCCGCGCCATCAGCCGTATTAATTAGCCGGAGCCGGCTGCCTGGCAGCTCGTTATAGCGCCCGGCTGATATATTGATGTCCGACGGACGATCCCTCTTTGTTCTCGGGACGTGTTCCTGTGATAATTGTTGGCTGGACAGAAAAAGTCTGGATGGAAAATGAATGAGGACGATCCAGACGGCGGAGGAGTGACCGGATTTACAGGGAATCAGTCACGCACCTGCGGGAGAGGCCTCAGATGGAAGCTGGCACCCTCTGGCTCCCGGGCTGGGTGCTTATCGTAGGGCACCCATATGAGTGATGATACCAGAATGAAGGCACTCGGGTAAGGTCACCATGAGTCCCGTTTCCTGGGGACAGTCCCTGTTTTGAGAGGTCTGACCCTGGAAACAAACATCCCCAATGGCAGTGACCTGCACTCATACACCGCCGGTTTTGTACATGCCGTGAAGGCTGCCTCTAGGACCCTGCGTCACTTATTACGGACCCCTGAACCCTGCGTTACTTACTACTGACCCCTGAACCCTGTGTTATTTACTACTGACCCCTATCCACAACCCCAGTACTCCATGTGTTACCTGCTGATGACCCCTGTACTCCATGCGTTACCTACTGATGACCCCTGTACTCCATGCGTTACCTACTGATGACCCCTGAACCCCACGTCCAGCCTCCTGCACCGCCGCTGCTGACTCTCATTGACTCAGCAGCGGCTATGGAGAAGAACGCAGCGCTGCACAGATCACGGTGATCTGAACAGCGGTGCGTTCGAACCCATCGTGACCCAGGCGGCATCAGGGGGGTGTCCTGGCCGGGCCCCCCTGTGCCCGGGCCCCATAGCGGCCACCTGGATCGCTATGGCTATTGTTACACCACTGGTCATGGCGCCTCTTGGACAGGACTTGCGGGTAGCCCGGGGCAATATTTATTGCACTCCGGCCCCTAAGGCCCGTCAGCATTGTGCACTGGCACTAGATTATTCATGCATGATTGGCACTTTTTCACTTCACAGAAGACAGAGGGTGCGGGTACCTTCGGGGCCTATTCCTGATTTCCCGGGAGGAGATTCTGTGACCCTTATGGGGCCCCTTGTCTCCTCCCACTCGGGGGGGTCTCCCTTCGGGGGAGCTCCCAGCCTAGTACTCGGTGGACCTGTTTTCGGCAGGTCCCAGAGGATCAGGGGTCCGCCGGCCTTCGGGTAAGTGGACCTAAGTTGTCCTTGTCCCTGTCAGGAGCCTTGCGCCCCCGGGGGATCAGGACATTGTGGCCCTTCCTCATCAGAGGGGACCAAAGCACCCTTGTGCACGTTTTTGTGTGTCGTGATTTCACGGTTCACTCTTTTTTTTTTTCCCACAGGGGATTCGTTTTCGAGCGCGCACCACGGGCTGTTA